TAATACTAATACTAATCTAATCTAATACACTACACTTGTTTTAATTGCTGCGAGTTATTTGTGCTCTAAACGCGTCCAAATCAAAAATCATAATTCATAGGAAATTATTGCAATATTTAGGTTAAAATTAGTCTTAAGTTTCTTAGTATATCTTTAAAAAGTTAATTATTTTCTTATATACATTTTAACGAAAAGAGATATATTTTGTATTGAGATACAAATAAATTTAATTTTATTTTATTATGAATTGAACAAATAAAATTGTTAGTTAAATTTATATACTCCCAGTTCGATGGCTTTATAGTATATATATAAAGCTGTTTTCTGAAAAATGTATATCAAAGGTTAATTAATTTCTTTTGTTAACCAAATAATATCCAGCCGAATATGAGTTATAAGGGTAAGCACTTTCATAAGTAATCAAGAGTGCTCTACTGTCGATTGAACGACTGGGAGATATCCTGTACACAGCGAAGCTGCAAACGCATTAACTTATTTTTATATATAGACAAACCTGATGCAATTCCATAAACCAGATTAAGATCTGGATATACCTTCTGAAAATTTAATTTTTTAGTTTTGTTTTTAATGAGAACAGTAGTTAATCATCCAATTCGGCAGTCAGCGCAAGCATATTAGGTAATAATAATGCAGGTATAACATATATAGATTGATATTTGGATGTGTCGTGAATGTATTCCTTTAGCATGGCAGGTTACGCGTATACGGCTGCGTCGTATTTCCCCCCCGCAAATATTGATTTTCAATTCACGGGCAACAAGTTGCGCCTGTGGAGCAGTGGGCGATGTTTGCTGGGGTTGGGCCAAGACTGGAATCTAATTTGCAGCGCGCTTTGTGAAGTTTTTAAATGGTTACTAATAAGATTTCTAATGCAATTACTGTTGATTTTGTGCTTGCAGGCGAGTTTTGCCGGAGGTGAAGCCTGGCTATTTGCAGCCATTGATACCGGATGCGGCGCCAGAGAAGCCAGAGGATTGGCAGGATGTTATGAAGGACATTGAGCGGGTCATTATGCCTGGCGTGACACACTGGCACAGCCCCAAGTTTCATGCCTATTTTCCGACGGCCAACTCCTATCCGGCGATTGTGGCAGATATGCTGAGCGGAGCGATTGCATGCATTGGATTTACCTGGATAGCTAGTCCAGCCTGCACTGAACTGGAGGTGGTCATGCTGGATTGGCTGGGCAAGATGATCGACTTGCCCTCGGAGTTTTTGGCCTGTTCGGGCGGCAAAGGCGGCGGCGTCATACAAGGAACGGCCAGCGAGTCGACCTTGGTGGCGCTGCTTGGGGCAAAGGCCAAGAAGCTGCAGGAGGTGAAGGCTAAGCATCCCGAGTGGGATGATCACACGATAATAGGCAAGCTGGTGGGCTATGCCTCTATCCAGTCACATTCCTCCGTGGAGCGGGCTGGTCTCTTGGGTGGCATCAAGTTGCGTTCAGTTCCGGCGGATGAGCACAATCGTCTACGCGGCGATGCTTTGGAGAAGGCTATTGAACAAGATTTGGCCGACGGCCTGATTCCCTTCTACGCGGTCGTCACATTGGGCACGACAAACTCGTGCGCCTTCGATCGCTTGGACGAGTGCGGTCCTGTGGCCAATAAGCACAATGTGTGGCTGCATGTCGATGCGGCTTATGCCGGCTCCGCTTTCATATGTCCGGAGTATCGTCATCACATGAAGGGCATGGATAAGGCGGACTCGTTTAACTTCAATCCACACAAATGGATGCTGGTCAACTTTGACTGCTCCGCCATGTGGCTAAAAGATCCCAGCTGGGTGGTCAACGCATTTAACGTGGATCCGCTCTACCTGAAGCACGACATGCAGGGCTCAGCGCCTGACTATCGTCACTGGCAAATTCCACTGGGTCGCCGATTCCGCGCCCTTAAGCTCTGGTTTGTGTTGCGTCTGTACGGCGTCGAGAACCTCCAGGCGCACATCAGACGCCACTGCGGCTTTGCCAAGCAGTTCGGGGATCTGTGCGTGCAGGACGAGCGCTTTGAGCTGGCCGCCGAGGTGAACATGGGCCTAGTCTGCTTCCGTCTGAAGGGCAGCAATGAGCGCAACGAAGCGCTGCTGAAGCGCATCAATGGACGTGGCAATATACACATGGTGCCTGCCAAGATACGCGACGTCTACTTCTTGCGCATGGCTGTCTGCTCGCGTTTCACACAGTCCGAGGACATGGAGTACTCCTGGAAGGAAGTTAGCGCTGCAGCCGATGAGATGAAGCTCAGCGAGGCGGCTGACAAGAAGTGAACAGCTGCATGTTGATCAGAAGTGACATGTTTAGGGAATTTTAACATTGAATACTCACCTCCTTCTCCCAATTCCAATTCCAATCATAAAGACCCGTACTCGATTACACTTTCGACCTGTTATCTTAATATATCGAATGGACCAAATGCAAGCGAAAGTGAAATGCCGAACGGGCTTAATAATCAAAAATCGTTATTGTTGTTTTTACATGCTACTCGTATTTAATAAATGTGCTTAATTAATTACTATTTAACCAATACTTTTGTAACTATGAATTTTGACTAGGTTCTTTTCTAAAGAGCATTCAACTACGAGTGTGAGATTATACGCCATGCTTCTTATGATAAAAGTCTATTATGCGCTGCGCCTCGCGTATTCCACTGGAGCGCGCTCCATCTATGGTGCCGAAGCCATGCAGTGTGGTCGCATCTCCAGCAAAGAGCAGTGTTGGCTCAGCATCGCCTAGAGGCGCCGCTAAGCATTGCACGTCCCGAGCGCTGCTGTTGACGGAGAAGTAGGGCCGGCCGCCCAGAAAGCACGCGGAGCTGTTCCAGTCGGAGCGTAACATGGCCTGCGGATAGGGAACTCGCTCGTTGCTGAGGCACCGGCGCAACAGCATTGTTATTTGCTCAAGCAGCGTCGCATCGGGCAGTTTCTCAATCTCATCGTAGTAGCCGCCACCAACTCGAATTTCTAGAACGTGTTGGCTACTGGGCAGTTGAGATATTTCCACAACCTGTCGAGTCCAGCTGCGCTTCGGATTCAAGTCAATCACTTCACAGATTGCGGCTGGATTTGGTTGCGGCAGTGGAGTCAAGGGCCGAAGATTGGACTTGAGCCAGCGACTAATGGGACGCTTGTAGGAGAGATAGATTTTGACTGGGTTGCCAAAGCCCAGATTATGTATGGCCTGTAGTTTATCTAGTGGGAGCATCGGCTTAAACAGAATTCCGGAAAAGTTCTTGAGCACGCCCAAGGGCAGCGTACTAATAATGTGATCTGCGTGATACAGACTGCCATCCAAGCAGCCCACAAATTGAGCATCTGTTGGCGTCTTCCATTGAATCGTGCCGACAGGTTTACCCATCTGCAGCTGATGCTTTTCCAAGTCGTGAGTGAGTGCATTTACGACGTTGTCCAGGCCCGTGGGCACGTATATGGGATTTGTTTCCTGCTCCAGCGGGCAGGTAGTAATGTGCTGGATATTAACATACTCTAGACAGCAGCCCAAAATGCTACTGAAATCCTTGAAGAGCGATTGAAAAATCTCCCGTGCCATTGCCTGCTCGTCGGGATGCTTAAACGATGTGTCTATCAGCTTTTCGCTCTCCGACTGAAAGTAGCTCATAACGTTGTCCAACGAGTGCAGATCGCCGCCACTTTTAACCTTGTCGCGTACCTTGAAACCGCGACACAAGTCTCGAAAAAGCTGGTCTATCAATTCAACCATGCCAGAGGGCACCTTACTCTGTTCTCCTTGACCCGCTGCGTGTACATATCGAACGGGCGTCGGCTGCTTTAGCTGTTTGGTCAGGCCTTCAGCATTGCGTAACAGCTCGTACATGGAGTCGTGAGAGCCGTTGATGTTGACCCATTTTGCGCCCAGCTCGCAGAATGTGTCCCCGAAGCGCTTTGAGTTAATGCGACCGCCATAACGCTCCGTAGCCTCCAGCACGAGAGTGCTATGGAATCCATTTGAAAGTAGATGCTTTGCCGCTGACAAGCCCGCTAGTCCACCGCCAATGATCACAATCTGTGCATTCCGCTTGGCCGACTCTAAGTTGTGGTTGAAATCAAAGTGCCCTCCATGATGCTGCAACCCGGTGAGCTCTGCTTTAAGTGCCGCTGCGTTGTATAAGCTGCGCCTGATGGCTAGTTTATACATAACTAATCGGGCGCCATAGCAAGGAGATGGAGGCAATTCTTAAGGATTTATTTCTACGATAGCAACAACATTTCCACTTACCATTGCATGTCAAAGTCTCAACAGGCTTGATCAGTTTTTGTTTGTTTTGCAGAAACTGTGTAATTTCGTTTTGTATGCGTAAGTTCAATGTTTTGTGTTGACAGCAAAAATGTCCCATTTAGGCATGTTTTCTAATACCCTTGTCGATATTATTATAAATATGTGTCAACGAGTTTTTTTATCACCAAAATTATTATGCACAACTAGCTTATAAATTTATATGCACACAAATTATATCGGCGAATGTCTTCAAAATGCATACGTTTACAGGAAATATATTTATTTTCAATAAGCAGTGTATTTTGTGTTCACTATTTAATTTTCATGACTTGGGGTAAACTGAAGCAGCTGTTTATGACCGCACGTCTGGCAGCATTGGTTGCGATTGTTACCTAGTATCGCATCCACATACCGATAACATATATCGATATTAGCTGGACTTTCGCACACTGTTTAAATGGCGGTAAAATTGAAATAGTGCTGGTTAGAATTTTGTAAACGTCAATTTTTGCAAATTGGTCAATTTTTATAAGTTCTTCTTTCCTGTGGATGATTAGTATTTTTTATCTACTTGTTATGAATTTATTAATTGCAATATTACTGAATATTCGACTAGCGCTGCAGCGTTTAATTTGTTAGATCAATATCAATATTAGCTGGACTTTTGAGCACTGTTTGATTGGCGGTAAAATTCAAAAAGGGCTGGCTAGAAATTTGTAAACGTAAATTGGTAACTTTTTATAAGCACTTCTTTCATTTGTATGATGTATTTATTATTTCTTATCTACTTGTTACATGCCATTAATATCGATTATGCATTTTTTAATTGCAATATTACTGAATATTCGACTAGCGCTGCAGCGTTTCATTTGTTAGCTGTAGCCCACTTAAATGATGCGTTAGCTCTGACAGTTCTCCAGCTTTGCGCGCATTTACCTGTTGCTCAGCACATAGTGATGTCAGCTGTGTCTCAATCTCCGACCAGGCAAATTGAATGTCCGATGGCTTAGGATCCATGCCGCATATAACAAATCGCAAAAACAGCTGCCCACGATGCTCTGCCTTGACCATGTAAATCTTTTTACGCTCCATCAAACGTTGTAGCAACTGTGACGTTACTTCATTGTCACCCTTTGCCCGGAAGCAAACCAGTCCCAGGGCGCGTGGAGCAACCAACTCAAAACGTTCATCGGCCTTCACCAGATTTTCGAATTGGATGGCCAAATCAATGTGTTTGCGCATGTGTGCGCGGAGACCCTGAGCGCCCAGAGTGCGGAATGTTATCCACACCTTAAGCGCACGGAAGCGGCGACCCAGCGGAATCTGCCAATGGCGAAAATCCGGAATCTGCGTCTGACCCTCATGCTTGTGCTTCAGGTAGATGCGATCCACATTGAAGCTGTCGATTACCTTGTTGGCGTCGCGCAGCCACATCGCCGAGCAGTCAAAGTTGACAAGCATAAATTTATGTAAATTAAAGTTTAGAGAGTCCACGCGATCCAGTCCGCGACGCAGTTCAGCGCACTCGTCCAGGGCGAATGCGCCACCAGCGTATGCCGCATCCACATGCAGCCACACCTGATGCTGCTCGCAGATGCTGGCCAGCGATTCGATATCATCGTAGGCGCACGTGCCCGTCGTTCCCAGCGTGGCTACGCAGATGACGGGTATGAGACCGGCGGCCACATCTCGTTCAATGGCCTCCTTCAGTGCGGCGCCGCGCAGCACCAGATCTTCGCCGGCCGGCAGCAATTTGATCGGCATGGCCGCCAGCACGCCCGCCTTCTCAATGCAACTGTTGCTCTGATCTGACGAATAGGCAATTAGCTTGCCGCGTATCTCGCTCTCGCTCTGCTCCGGATGGCACTCGCGCTCCCTGCGCACGGCCTGTTCGCGCGCCGCCAGAACGGCCACCAGCACAGCCTCGCTGGCGGAACCCTGAATGACGCCGCCGCCGGGACCCTCGGACTCGTGCAGAAAATGGCTGGGCAGCTTTAGGAACTTGGCCAGCCAGTCCATGACGACCACTTCGAGCTCCGTGCAGGCCGGGCTGCATATCTGTCAAAAAAGAAATATGTTCGTTTTTTATTGGAAATCGTATAAACAATAAATTTGATGAGCAAAGACAATTCCATAAGGCTTGACCCAGTCCCTGCGATAATACAAGTGTCTCTCTTTGATTCGCCTCGTTGGCACGTTAACAACCTGTTTGTCAAGTTCTTTGAGAGGCGTCGCTTTCACTTGCCCAGACCGAAGACAAAGGGCTTACATTCAGCTCGATTGGACAATGGACCCGTGTCTGAGATTTCACCTGCACGTACCCAACTGAAGCCAATGATGCCAAAACCGTTGGCCATGATGTCGCCCACAATCGATGGATAGGACACGCTGGTGGGATAGTAGGCGTGCATGTTTGGCGACTGCCAATGGGTGATGCCGGGCCTGATCACGCGATCGACGTCTGATAGAATTTCTCGCCATGCCTCGGGTGCTTCGGGCATCTGCTTGGGCAGCAGCTGCAGCAGGTAGCCCGGATCGACCGCGGGCAGTACATCATGCTCCCGTATATTCTCCAGATAGTCGGCCACATAGTCAACGGCAGCTTTGCCAAACTCACGAAACTCTTTGGCATCCATTTTGCGAATGCGTTCTCGTTTTCGATACGGGTTCAATCTCCGATTTAGTCGCTGTTTTTAAAGCGTTTCTATTTGTACTTTTCACGTATTGTTTGTCTTCTGTTTGTTTACAAAGCTCCAAACAGCTGAACCCCGTTGTTGTCCACCTGTTGTTGTCGGTCTGTTCGATGTGTTGTTGCTCTCGCGCCGTTGGCTTTGACTCTGATTTCGCGCGACGCGATCGCGCCGCCTTTTATACCCCCCGATCACAGCTGGAGGTGAGCCCAGGCAAGAGCCAGAAGCAGAGCCAGAAGCAGAGCCCAATCTCCGGTCAGTCTCCGTTGTTGCGACTCTTAAACGCCGCTTACCTAATGCCATAAACTGCATCTGGGTTGGGTCCAGTATTACGTCTAATTGTCTTATAAAATAATTGTTAATAGTAATTAGGGAGTAATCTCCATTCTAATTATACAGAATTAAAATGTATACCTATCACAAATTTGCTACCCGTAATTTAAATGTAGGTAAATTCATAACATCAATATCCATTTGAATAAACTATAATTCAGAAAACAATTCGATATAAAATATGTTTTTATATTTAAAACCGAACTGTTCCCAACTGTTTTGAACTTTTGTTAAATCCAACAATTTCTACTCGCTTCGGCTTTCGTATTTAAAAGTAAGCAAACACATAAATTAATCAACGCCTTCTTTATTCTATATAATATTGTGTGTGATGTATCTAAATAATAGATCAAAATTATGCATAAAACCAATTTAAAACAACTTTTTTAATAACAACTGTTCGCTAATGTTTTCAAAAGGTTTCTCTTGTAAATAAATATATAATATCATTAAAGGTTTCCATATAATACTCGTCAGGCTTTCTATTTGTATTGCTCGAAATTTGCAGGAATCAACCTAAAGAATTCGGGTTTCTACTAAAAACTGCTAGTTTATTTCCGTTTAAATTTGAGAACAGTATTTCACAGCTTTTTAAAGCTGTTCCCAACAGTACCCAACAGATTTCTCTTGCATTTGCTCTTAAAGCGTTGCTCTCATCACATTCTCTTCTCTTCATTGCCGCGTTTGAAAAATAGATAATATATCGCATTAAATTACAAATATGAATCTAAAGTTTCATGCAAACTTTTATCGTCAATTAACAGTTGATACCTTATTTGTTTCGCACTTTAATACTCTTCTTCCTTAAGGTAAGGCAAAAAGAGTGTAGATATAGAATATCATCAACTATTGGAGCTATACATATATCTCTATATGTAAACTTATTTGCCCTGACTGACAAACTGTAAGATCTAAGAAGCTGAAGCTACTGAAGCGTCCTTTTGTGATGAAAGATCGCCTAAAGGCGGCTTCTGGGAAATTCCATCCGAAAATATGTATGAAAAAAATATGGTGAAAGGTCATATGCAACTTTTCTGTTGTTAAACCCAGGCAAGACGGGTAATACCTGATACTCTTTATCTAAAATATAGGTATATCCCATATAATTTAAATTTCGGTCTTAAGTTATAGTTAAAAGAAAAAAAACATACCTATTTCATTTTATATTACTTAAAGGCACATTATAAAATTATATAGCTACCTTATTGGCAATAATACAAAAGGAGTGCAAGATTGTTAGGCCAAAGGCAATCTTACATTGAGAACAAGGGGTATAAGAGCTAGACACAGAGTTTGGGTATACACGTTATCCTATGCCCTTTAAAATAAACAAAAATACAATATTTTTCACTAAAGAAGTTGATTAAATGATTTAATTATTAATTCAATCTCAGATTATTTAATTAATTTTTGAAAATTTAAATAAGTTTGCGTAGCTAGTGTATCTATTATTTTGACCATGGGTGTATATATACGAAAACAGGCAAATGAAGATTTGAGAACTTTTTATAATACTAAGCCCCGCACTCCTGAAAAAACAATTCTTTCCTATAAAAGATATTTTCATAATTCAGATTTATCCCATTTTATTTCGTCGTAAATAGTTCCCAATTTATCTTGCATTGAGCTGAAAATCTGCAGAAAATCTGCCGCTGGAGCTCATCTGAATTTATAGATTAATGCTTACCCAACTGAATCCCAAGACTCCGATTCCCGCAATGAGAAGCTCGCCTATTATGGAACCAGCCGATGTCGACGACGGATAAAAGGCATTGAAGTACGGTGATTGCCAATGGGTCAATCCAGGCAAAATAATGTGCTCCAAGTCGTCGAGAACTTGCCGCCAGTGCTCCGGTTGCTCTGGTATCTGCCTGGGCAGTTGGTTGATGACCTCGTGGGGCACCACACTGGATAGCACATTTCTGTGGAGGCAGCGAGTGATATTGGTTTGAAAATTACTAACAACACACACACACACACACACAAATATACACACACCTTTCACGTATGTTGCTCAAGTAGTTGATAATAAACTCTATTGAGGCGTGTCCAAAGTCGCGAAACTCGTCAAAGTCCATTTTAATCAAGAGAACACTGTGAACGATATATATATATACTTATATATATCCTGATTTGGAGATCTGTCGTGGTCCGTTGCGTCGTCTGACTTTTGCACTTGTTCACCGCTGACATTCGGATCTACAAATGAACTGGCTGCGACATGTCAAAGCCTCGATAAGCGCTTTAAGTCGAACGATTCGTGAGCTGTTTTAGGCAGTAAAAACTTTCAAACAATACTTGAAGGGCCGAAACAGACTTAACCCCACAGACCTACATGCGGAATGTGTAAAAATATGTGCACAGCCAGCAAGTTTTGGATACCATTGCCGAGATTTATGTAACTCTGACGACGCTCAGAAACGACATTAAGCGTAAACATGAGCGCAATATAAAAAAAAAAATCAAAAATAAGATAAAAAATAAAAGCATGAAAATCGTCGAAGAAATTTTAATGAAATGCGTTTAATTGTCTAATAAAGCGACTACACTGAACGAAATCTGTGGGTCTCTATGCAAATCAGACGGGGAAAATTATTGAATAATATTGAGTTTTAGGCCTCGAATTAATTATATGACTTTAATTTTAATAAAACAAAAAAGTGATATAAATAATAAATAAATGTGGCAATTGCTTATTTAAAAAAGCTCAGATATTTGTAGTTCCTTCGCATGGTTCAGATATGCGTGATGTTAATTTTCTTAATCTGGCATTTCTCTCAATGCAGCTAATGGATGATCCATTGTTGTCACAATCCGGTTTATAATAACTATTACCTTGGCTTGCCCGTTGTCACTTGGCAAAAATCCCTCCAAATGGCTTGAGATGCATAACATTTTCCAGCTTTATTAGTTACCTGCTGTCCGCCTGTTCCGCCCAGTCATGCGACCGTGCACGAAATTTGAAAGTCACAGTCATGTCTATCGACTGGATTTATCTATTTTGTAAGCGCAGCTCGAGCTGGGAGTGCATCATCAACATCAGCAACATCATCATCATCATCAACATCATCATCATCATCGGACTGGCCGTGTGCCCGTGCAGCGGACCGGTCACTGCATTTCACAATTCTGCGTTGATGCTGTCTGCCTTACAAATTTCAGGGTCACGCTCCAATTTGGTTCCGTCGTTAACGAAACTTTTGTGTTCAATCATTTTATAGGAAGCTCTGACTATGAGCTGCGAGTTCATTAAATAGCTGACCTTGCACTTATGAACAAGAAACGCGAAATTCTGATGATTTCTTTTATTTTAATAACTTTGCTTGGGGGTATTATAATTTCGTCACATTTGAGTATTTGAGTAAATTCTTGATTAGCATCAATAGCCGAGTCGATATAGATGTGTCCCTCTACCCTAGTTCTTCAGTTCTTCATTCAAGAATGAAGTTCTTGTATGACAAACTTGTTTATTTTTAGGCTCATCTTGACCTATCTTGTCCGTCTACGAGGGTATTTAATGTTCGGCATATCAAATATAGGCGTTTAGTCACGTTTTTTAAATTTTGGATTTAATATTCTTGAATTATATACCATGCACGGGAATCTTTGGTCAACAATCAATAGGTAATTTCAATACAGTTATATGCCTTATATTAAAGTGTGCCAAATAAGCTAAAGCTTCGTGTAATAATTGTAAGTATTGAGTAGCCCTCGTTTTAATAGCTTCATAATATCCATATATTGAACGGCGTTCTCTTGCTTGGATACTCGGCCATGATATGGCCACCAGCTGTTGTCCTCCACTAAAAGTCCATAATTGTGGTTTGGGGAGTTAGTCCTGTAAGGTTCAAAGCGCTTGCCGTTCTCTAAGCGGCTCATAAATAAATGCGAAAACAAAATGCCAAGCAGACATATCCACAAGGAAGCTCCCAGTTTTGTAAAACTACACAGACGCATGCGAAAACAAAATAAGATAGCCCAACTGCCAGATACCCTATACTAAATTAGTTTGCCATAATTAAAAAGAGTATCTGATAAAGCTAAATGAATTGTTTACTAATTTTAAACAAGAAAAGATAGTTAGCTCGGCGGCTTATTTTTCCATAACTTTTAGTTTGCAATTTCACACAAAAATACACTATTCAAAGCTGTGAGCACGAACAGGGTATTTACACCAATGCCGCACAGGGTGACTCTAGCTAGCGAAAATGATTGACTGCCTTGCCTCTCTGCGCGCATGCTGCACTGCGCAGCCGCTGGAATGGCTTTAACCCTTGAACAGACACCCTGCTCACCCCGCCCATTCAGCCGTTCCAGTTTAATGGCGTCGCAGGCGATAAGATAACGGATTCTCGCGCATGTCTAAAATGCGAACTCCGGCGGGGCATTTACTGTTCGTTGTTGTTGTTTTTATTGTTATCAACGATTTCCAATGTTTTCAATATAAAGGGGCGGCGCTTGCTTCGCCCTGGAAGCCAAGCAAACTTCTCTCGCAGTTGTTGTTGTTCTTCGCTTTCGTTTTGGTATTTTTTTTTTTGTTCTGTTGACCGCGCGTATTGACTTGGACTTTTGAGTTAAGTTTCTCATATTTGTGCTATGCCATTGCCGTCGCTGACTTTTAAGTGCTGTTGACTGTTGTTTTGGGGCCACAGCGAAGGTGTCGCCAGGCGTTGGCTCATTTCTGCTCTTGTTGTTGCTGTTGTTGTTGGTGTTTGTGTTGTTGTTATTGCTATTGCTGCTGCTGCTGCTCCTGCTGCCACTGCGCTGCCGACATCGCAGTGCTTTTTGCAGTTATTACTCGAAATTCTTGAGAGAAAAACTTTTGCTAAACTTTTAGGTTTCACAAAATATTGTAATGCCGCCGCCTAGCGAACAAGCACATGAACGGAAACGGAACGGGATAGGTATAGAATTGGGTATGGGAAAGGAAATGCTAACTGTCAGGGCAGGGGCGGCAGAGTTAAGCATAACATTGCGCATACTAAAAACAGTATAAAAATGTCGACGACGTCGCTGTCGCTGTTACCGTCGCCGTCGCCGTCGCCATTGTTGTGTTGCTTTCTAGCCTGGCAGCCTGCATTTTACCATATCATTTGTGTCACATTAAGATCAATTGGTAAACACACACACACAAGCACACACACACACACACGCTAGCTAGAGTGTGGACACAAAAAGGCAAACGGCATAAAAAGTATCGTAAAAGTCAAATAAAAAAGCTCACACAACAACAAGAGCTGCAACAATAACGCGCGTCGCAGATGCAGGAGCAGCGACAACGGCAACAAAAGCGTCAAAAAGTGCGCAAAAAATGCAGCCCGAGTGCCACAAATAGCAGCAGCAAAAAAAAAACCTGACAAACAACGCAGCAGGCGGCCGTCAGCTTTCGCCAGTGTTGCCAAGCCATGCCATGCACTGTCATGCCGTCTCGTGTCGTGCCTGCCGTGTCCGTTTAGCCGCCGTCGCTGCCGCCGCCGCCATTTTGTCGGAGCTTGCCGTCGCATTGCCAATTGCCGTCGCAAAATGGCGTTCGAGTGAATATTGAAATGTATTGAAGTGAAATGCAAACAGCCTACAAAGAAATTATAAATTTGAATATAACAAAATTCGCATAACCAAAAGCGTATAAAAAATAAAAAATATTGTGAAATTCTTATAAAAATTCAAAAGTGTTGAATAGGGTATTTTTTTCAGTTTTTAAGAATAAGTTAATATTTATTAAACATGACTGAGAAATTCGTTTGTATTAAACGTAGTATGGCTAAAAATGCTTGTTGTATCTTTTAATTTTTGGAAATTTCAAGATCTTGTTACTTTGTTACAATTTCGGTAGCTAGATTCTTGCGTATTGATGCATATAATTATGTAACAAACAGATAGGCATTGCTCGTATTGTGTACTCAGCTCTTAAAAACATGCACCCTACATTATAGAGCAACAAGCCATAGATACTCGGTATGCACGTTTTTTATATATATATATTAAAATTGTTATTGTATATTGCAGAGTAGACACTTGAAGGTAGAACCTTGCTTGAGTCGAAATTGATATAGAAGGGCAACGAGTATAGTCTAATGCACAACGTCGCGAAGAACACAGGCACACACTCGTACACTCGCGCAATCGAACCGAAGTACCGAAACCAAAGAAACCGCCGCGGGTCTCGCTTGCCTGATAAGAAACCGAGTCGAGGCGAGGCGAGGCGAGCGACGGCGGCGGCGCTTTACACGGTGCCAGTTCTGAAACAGTCAACCTACCAACCACCCAATAACCAGCCAAGCGACCAAACAGCCAACCAGCGATCCAATCTTGCTCTATCTATAGGCAGTGCCGTCTGCCTTACAAGTAGAAAATAGAAGTCTGCGCCGCGTGATTAAACATTTCCGCCTTTTTGGCAGGCCGGGGCACCAAAAGGTTGGATCGCTAGGGAAAACCTCGCGCGTGTGACTACAAAAAATATGTTTAATAGTTAGTATTGATATATTATATGTTATTGTGAAATATATTTCTCAAATGCAGGCATGCTGATCCAGCTGATCTGCCGTTTATAAATTTGATAAAAATTGTGCGCCAATTTGACGGGAAAGTGCTTGCTAGCAAGTGCCATATTAACTGCAATTAATGCGCATACGACACGTGTGACGATCCGCCCATTCAACATACCCGAGTAACAAAAAAAAAAAATAATAAGAAAGAAAGAAAGATATAAAATCCGACAATTATTAGCTGCCGTTGTTGTTGTTGTTGTTGTGAGCGTGCATGCAACTGGCCTTAGAGATGATGCAAACGCTGAAACCGCCACCGCCACTGCATCAACATCAGCATCCGCATCATCACCAGCACCAGCACCAGCACCAGGCGCAGGCACAGGCACAGCCTCAGTCACAACAACTGCAGCAGCATCTGTCAGTCATGGATAATCACCAGCAGCAGCACATTCATCAGCAGCAGCCGCAACAATTGCCACCCACGCCGCAGGCATCGCACCTGCTCGCTGGTCAGCACAATCATCATCAGCATCCTCCACTTGGAGTCAGTGCTGGAGTCGGTGTCGGTGCTGGAGTCGGCGTGTTGCCTGTCGACCATGATGACCCAAATCCAGAGTTTGTGCTTGCTTTAATTTCAAGGAATCGAGCGCTCGAGGGTGAGTACAAAGGGTCTCGGTTCACAGGTCCCAGGACCAACGGCCAGGCCAAGTCGCAATCCTCTTCGCCTGTGGCACTGCGGCTGTCCTCCTTGATTTCCGTTTCATCCCGTGTGCTCGTCTAATATTTTTTAGCTGCTCTCTGCAACTAGCTGTCGGTTATTTATTTATGCCTTTAATTATGCAAAGTTTTTCGCTGTTGTTTTCTGATTTCACTCGCCGTGGATGGGTGTCTGTCTGTGTCTGAGTGGGCCTATCTGCCCATATTTGGGTGTGGTTAAGGTGTTGTTTTGATTGAGCGCCGTTGAAAGCAGATCATGTGCATGAATGTGTGCAGGCCAGCACCTGTGGCAGGTGCGAAATGCGGTTGGCCCGACTTAAGGCTCAACCTTTCCATTTGAAACGTAAGTGTTTTTCAATTAGCGACAACTTCTTACCCTTGCCACATTATCTCACGAGTGTGGCAACTAAAATTAATCATATAATGGCAGAAATTAAAACAAGGGCTTAGTCTTTAATTAATATATGCTGTACCCACTGAAAAGCGAAGGTACAAAGAAAAGTGTACTAGCAAATCACGATTATTTAAGTTAGTCGAAAGTTCAGCCCATTCTGGTCCTTAAGCACATCCATATTAGTTGGAGACGATCAACTCATAAGCAAATCAAGCATATTAAATATTAAATTAAATACGGAATGCATTTAAGATTGATTTTTTTTAGACCAGGCCTGGTAATACCTGGTAGCTAGTCGGGCGACCTTGTCAAGCAAATTGATAATTCAGTTTTTACTCGCTAAACCTATGCATGAAGTTTCATACTATTTCATGGCTGTTTTTTTGGGCTAGGCAAATCCCAGTTGGAAGACTTACGTGCTTTTTTTCTGCCAATCCCGTCACAATTTTGATTTCGACATGTTTCGCGCGATCCCACGCAAATCAATTGACATGCTAAGGCCGCAGCTAAAAGCCAGCCCAAAATGTTGACAACTGACACAATGGCAGACGGGACGAAGGACACGCGCCGTCGTCGTCGTCGTCATCGTCGGGGATATGTGCAGACAAGACAATGCCGAAGTCGAAGCCCAAATTGTTCAAATTGTTGACAATGTCCAAATGGCTTCGACTTGGCTCAGCGCTATTGTCGCTAATGCGCAAGGAATAACCAAAGCTCCTCTCGCCCAGTCGAGTCCCAATCCCAGCCCATTTCGTGCACGTGGCGCAGCATTGAAAAGAGCATAGCCAGGCTGCAGCAAGAACAACAACAACAACAATTGTTGATGGAACTGGGCGCGTTTTCAAGTACGCCGGGATTTTGTTTAGTACACGCGTAATTACAAACAAATAAATAACAGGGCAGTGCTAAAACCGCATATGCCCCGTCGCAGAGGCCACGTGTCCTTAATATGCAGCTCCGGTGCCGGCATCGGGAAACTGCTTGGTAAAACCAGACCAAAACCAGCTAGATACGACACATCCCAGCGGAGTTGAGCGGCGTTCGACGAGCGTCGTGCAAAACGAGCAGAAAAATTGAATTATGCGCCTGCGGTGCTTCCCCCCTCCCCCCTTTGCCACACACGCATGCCCCGCATACCCTGCCTGCCCCGCCGCTGAGCAATTCAGGAACCGGCAATCGACAAATATTTTGTTATTTGCACATAAACATATTTATCGAGTTTGGGTTGCTGTTTGTTGTGCGTAAGGGGCCGGGGAGGGTGGGTAGGTAGGTAGGCAGGTCTGAGGGAAGCTCGCTGCACCCACGGGTGTTCGGTTTCACCCGTTCGCAACTTCTTGGCGCTGCCAGCGGAAAGTGAAGTACTTGGTTTGGGCCTGTCAAAAATTGTGTAAATATGTTTGTCATTTCCACTTGCCTATGGCCGTGCACTTAGCACTGGGCAAACAAACCCACTCCTCGGAGACCAGCGCAAGTCTCTCAACCCCCGGCCCCGGGACAACCCTCAACTGTGGGCTGGCTCGCGCACTTGTCGCTCACTCGACCGACCGACCGAGCGACCCGCCGCCTGCCGCGTGCCGTTCGTTAGCCGTTCTTGTGTGGCTTTCCTATTAACGTTGAGGGTACCCGGCACCCTCCGTGTTAGCCGGCACCCTACGATGCTTAATGCTTAAGCGTATCGCTTTGGCTTGTTCTTTCCTTCCGACATCCTTCCGGGGGTGGCTTTTGTTGCCTTTTGCGCACGTAATTTGTCATAATGTCAACAAGCGAATGATGCGCAGCCCAGCCCATCAGGATCGGGAGTGAGCAAGTACAGCAAGTGTTTAAGCGAGACTAGAAATTTAGGAATTGTATTTGAAAAACAATCGCACTCCCTACATGTACTGATAGGCAATTAGATATATGGCTTGCCTCATCCCGCCGGATGCCTCGTGGATGAGCGCAACCTCGTTGCAGAGCAGGTTGCGCAGGTCATTCCGTATAGCCTCGACGTGTACATCCGTTGCGTTGGCTTCCACGGCCACATGGATTTCGTGCAGATAGTTGCCCGGATAGGGCCGCTGCTGGCTTACGTAGGAGGTGCTGCTCAGGCTGTAGTTGCTGCCCGCCGTGGCCGTCTGGTAGCTGCTCTCCGTGGTATAGCCCGAGGACTGCGAGTCGGTTACCATCAGCTCGGCGCTTCCAATCGTGCAGGCACTGCTATTGCATCTTGCCGCCATCACGCAACCTACTGCCGTCGGGGTACTCGAACACGTTGCTGGCAGCGTAAGATCGGGGTCTGGAGGACTTCTCGCTAATTGCTTCGCTGGATTCAACAGGGAGGTGTGACTGTGCTCGAAGCTGCTGTCGGACTGGGTTTTGCGCGGCAGCTCGTGTTTTTCGCGTGCGTCCAGTAGAATGGTGATCGACTTCTTGGACTCGATGGGCAAAGCCTGCTGGTGAGCCGACGAAGAGCTTTGTGGCAATGGATCTGTGGCTCCAATCTCTTGATTATTCACCTTTTCCATGGTTAGCCGGAGCGGGGGCCAAGTTCTTGCAGGGCACGGGTCCGCCCAGGAATTTGCAGCCCAGCGAAAGCTCAGTTATCGTGCCAACCTCCTCGGTGAACTCCGTTTGAGTGCAGGAGCTGAAAGTCCTATGCACTTTTGCCAGATCGCAGCGAAAAGCGTTGTAGGCAGCCCAATTGACATCGGACATCTGCGTATTATTGTGTGTATGATCATTATTTGTTGTACGAACTTACGTTCCTATCGATTGATATAGCTAATTACTAACGTCTAGTGTTGAGCTCCCTTTCTGTAGCTTCTCATTTGAGGCCGAGGCCGAATTTCTATCCTTACCCGAATTCATAACTAATTGTTGTTTAGTCAACTCACCCCTAACGAGCTTCTAAATTTTGGGCCGAAACTCTACTCGAGCACATAACTACTTCCATATGCCTAGCACATCAGTTCAAAGACAGCACAAGCAAGGCATTTTGATAATAGATCCATTTGATAAGTTTGGGCACAGAGTATACATTCGTCCCATTGGTATACGGGATAAGGCTTGAATAGATCAAAGATTTAATGACCGAAGGTTTACTTTGGGCTTCAAGACTGTCCCACAAGACTGACTTTGACGGAAAGTATATATTCCAACGTTTGGTTATTTATTCGATGTACCTTAAACATATTTTCAAAGAAATTGCAAGAAAGTACATTTTTTAGAGGGTGAAAAAGTAACACTTAAAATTTCAAGCATTAAACTTACCACGGGCAAAGCGGGGAATACCAAAAGTATTTCGTCGTTTCTTTAAATCTTCCATTTTTATTGAAATCCACTCATTTTTTAATAGAAATGTTGTATTATGTTTGGTTCAAGGTAAACAATATTAATGAGAATTCCGGGCTTGCATCGGCACCGTTCAATCTCGGTTTGCAGTCTTGCAGCTTTGATCCATACGAGTTTCTTTATTGGTACACCTTAAAAAATATAAAATAGAGTGATTTATTTCTGATCTGTGTATTAGTCAACGAAAATAAATATTTTTATTTCAACCTAAAAGATTTGAACAGGTTTGCAAATAACGACCTAGCTTAATACATTGAGATATTTATATTATTTTAGCGAGTGCGTACTGTGATCAGAACTTTCTATCTGCATTACTTGGTGTAGGATTGGTTGATTTTGGGAAGGACGTTATTTGTAGTGTTTTTTTAGTGCATTTTTTAAATAAATAGATATCTGGTACGTTAATTCTTGCTGAATTTGGTGTGAGTTATTTTTAAAATTCCAAGGATATGCTAAAAAGCTGTTAAAATGTATCACTGAATAAATCTTTAGATTTCGATTTCGCCAGATTATCTCAGCTGTTTATCCCAATCAAGAGTATATAAACTTTTTGGGACTACAGATAACTCCCTCCTTCGACTCATCACAGTGCTTATTGATTTGATGCGAGGAACTCCCCTTCGAAATAAGCTTGATTTAGGTATGATAGACAAGGTCGCACAGATTTATTAGTCACTCCAACAGTTTCTTGGAGCTTAACGCCATTATGATCATACTTATATAATCATACTAGTCATATTAGTATGGCTAAATCTGCACGATTGGAGGTGCATATGAGGTGATCGATATGACGGGGCTGACTGATCAGATAAGGCAGGGAATTCTTAGTTTTGATAATAATAGTAAACCAGATCTCAGATCCCGAATCATTGCCGCCCTCCTCTGGCCAGATGCCTTTTTGGAGCGAATCGCGCATTTTTCATTGCTAGGCCAAACAACAAATGAAAATATTTATAAAAAAAAAAAAGAGAGAGGTAAGGGAGCTTACGGGCTTGGAGCCAAGTTGAGAAATCAGTTGATGTTGTTATTGTTATTTTTGCTGTTGGTTGTTCGTTTCGTCGTTTCGTCGTTTTTTGTTTTTCCTTGTTTTTCATGGCGTCCACATAAATCATTTTTTGTTCGCCATTGCCCGGACTGCCTGCTGCATATTTCATGGCGGTTTGTTTACTCTACTCATGAAGTGGGGGCGGCGGGGTGGCGGGGAGGTAGACAATGGGGGCTGCAGCGATGAGACGGGGAGGCAACTTGCGCTTAGCATCGACGACAGCTCTTTGACTAGGCTGCTTTGCTGGCAGGTAAGGTTAGCCAAGCAGCCGCCTTCCGCCCTCCGCCTTCCCCTCACTTTTGCTCCACTTTGCAAGCATTTCTGTTTGTTTCTTTTTGGTTTTATTATTTCATTTTTTTTTTGCCAACATGTACTCCGACTTACCCCAGCCCAGACAGTCACGGCCCCAAAAGAAGCAATTCGTGCGAAGGGGAGGAAGCAGGCGAATGTTTAACTTACGTTAAGTAAATAATGGGGCGTTCATATGACATCGCAAGGGGGAGTGTGAGGGGCGTAGGCCTACCTAACTAGAGAGAGGGAGTATATTTATATGTGTATGTGAGTGTGTGTGTATATAAGTGTGTTTGCAGTCCCTGTTTACTTCCACATTTCCTTTTTGCTTAATAAAATAAAATATGAAAGTTGCTTGCTAAAAAATCACAAACACAAAGTCTTGTGCAGCCAAGGGTCGCCAGAGCCATCTGTGTAGCTGGGTGCAGGCATAACCTCCTATAGCAGTTCAGAGCTTTAAAACTTATTTTGTTGAACCTGGTTGTCCTTGGCCAATCAATTAATTCTACGCCAGACAGGACAAATAACATTCAGATAAAGGTTGCGAACCGATTTTGATCGGAACTGGTTTGAAATGCAACTGAAACTATCTTATTTCTTTAGTTGTCTGCAAATAATATAAGTTTTAGTATCATAAATTAAATATAAACAAGTAAGAGGGCTCTAGTAGCAGAGATCCGAATGGGATCCGGAACCCAGCCTCGAGCTGCCTGCTAACTGTTCGGTGTGCATCGGTGCTTACAGTCCGATCCTTTTGTAATGTTTATAGCCTAAATATAAAACCCCACAAATCGCCTAACTCTACCTTCGAAAATCGGTTTTTTTTTTTGTCAATTTTTGGTGGCATGAGAGAAGGTATCCCAAAAAGTGAAATATTCTTAATCTGTGTATACTTCGCGAGAACTTCTAAGCCAAGTTGGGTGTATCTACGCCATATTATCTTCTAGTTATGCCTAACAAACCATATCTCAAAATTAATATTTTCCGATATTTTTAAATTGGGGATAGATAAAGAAAATATTAAAAGCCCGTTCTGCGTCGGTCAAATTTTAGTCCTCTAGCTGATTTAGTTTTCGAGACAGACGCGTTCACATAGACGAAGAGATAAACTGACTTAGCCCGACATCCAGATCAAGAATATGTATACTTTTATATACATTTTCCAATTTATATTCTGGAATAAAAGTAAGGAAAACAGAAAACACTCTAGTCTTGTAGACAAGGGGATCAGGTTTTCTACAAAAGCTTATTTTCGACCAGTTCTTCCTATAGAAGCTAAAATAATAAAGCAATTCTTGTGATTTGCCCTCTGTGGATTAAACTCATAGTGTTCGTTAGTTTCCCCTATTTATATAATCGTATAATTAGTTAGCGTTAACTGTTTAGTTGATAGTCTTGGTTTATATTGGGTTGCATGGTCGGAAAGTGGAATAGTGTGCTCTGCATCATGATTCAGACGAAATAGTTTTTAGTTTTGATGTCTTAGGTTTTCTGAAAAGGGAGGAAATCGATTGCTTCTGGAAAATTGATTTATTTTGTAAAGAAAACGTGAAGGAGCGGTCATAGCATAAACTAAATCACAAAACTGTATTTTATTTCATTATTTGAAGTCTGTGCTATACATGGGTTTTAATTAAAAACCTTTAAAGTGAGATTAAATAATTTGATAGAAGTAAATTTTGTCAATAAATTAATTTAAATTGTAAGAGTTTAGAGAGTGTAGAAGATAGCTTTAGAGTTTGGCATGAATCATCTTCCAGTTTGATACACGCTCATCAGGGCCATTTAGATTTGTTCGAATGCATATACGAATGCGCCCACTGTGCGACAATAAAAATAAAAATTAAAAATTACAAAAAAAAAAACAAGACAAAACAATACAAACACAAGCCAAAAACAAACACAGAGGCAAATTCTATGATGTTGGCTTCCACTCCTGCCTCTGCAGCGTGCTTTATGGCGAGGGCAAGGGCAAGGCGGGCGGGCAGGGGAACACGTAGCAGCTGGCTGGCTTAGCACGCTGTAAAGTGCCAAAAGGAGAAGAAATGGGGTACGCAAAACAAGCTGGATTCGTACGAGTACTAGATATGTAGATACTTCTGCGCGAACAATATCCCGCTGCGAACTTTATTAAATTACACGATTTTGACAGTTAAGCAGTTACCCTGCACCACCCCGCCCCCTCATCATGCCCATTCTCGTTGTTGTTGTATGCTTGAGTGTTGCCAAGTGAAAATCATAATTTTTTCTTATACTTTATGTTATGCTCCTCAAGCAGACCCCGCTATCCAACTCCCTCCCATCCTCGTCGCTAAGCCGCCATTTCGCCATTTCCCTCCTCGAATCTTTCTCCCCCGCCCACACGCATTTGCGTTGTCTGGCAACGCTGAGGACTTTTCGAGTATTCCTTGGGGGCCGGTTTAGGCAAATAGGAACGTAGGCACATAGGAACGGGAATTGCCTAAGTCGAAATCTTGGCAATTGCGCGATTCACTTGTGGCCGGGAGCGGTTACCAACTTTTATCATTCCGCAATTAGCTGGGCCATGTCTGCAGCGCTTATCGTTTGTAGTCGGTAGTCGGGTGCGGGTCAAAAACTTGCCAGATACTCCTCTAACAAGCCGCTGCTGCCGCTGCCAACGGTAAATATTTGTACAGCGTTTCAGTCGATACCTTGAAAAACGGGACAACAACAGCAGCAGCGATAACGTCTACACTGTGCACCATACAACAGTGTGTACGTCTGTGTGCGTATGGAGGTATATGTTCCTATAAATACGCAACGTGTGCATTCTTTACTAGCAAAAGTAGGGGTACTCGGGTACTGGGGAGTGCCCGA